TGCAAACCTCCTGAGCCCCCTCTGAAAAGTCAAACAGCTCACCTTCTGGCACCTCCTCCCCTCCCAGAGTAAGCCAAGGAAATGAGAGTTGGGTATTCAAAGGAGCCAGACAAGTATAATATCATATATACACTCGACATCCATCTCCTGTATGAAACCTCATTGTTCCTCTGTAACAAAAAGTAAATATTTACTGTGAGCCAGGAGAGGTAGTGAATGATCAGCCTCTGGGCCATCAATCACCATGAGCCATGCTCCAATTTTAATAACCTCGTAAGGGAGGGCAGGCAAGGATGGCAAAGACTGTCCGGGAGATAAGAGTTTGTCAGAGGAGTCAAATTGCTCAGAGTGGTAGAATATGAGGTGAGTTGTTCAAGCGTGCAGATTGTGAAGGTCCCTAAAGATGGGTTTATAAAGTTGAGGCAGCAGGACAGAGTGATTAGGAGCACAGCCTCTACAGCTAGACTACCTGCTCCTCCACTTACCAGCTGCAGGAACTTGGACAAGACAATTTCTCAGGGTTCTTTTCTACATCTGTGCGGCAGGGATAATAAGAGGATCCACTTCATAGTGTTGCTGTGAGGACAAAATGAGTTCCTGCAGGCAAAATGGTTATAACAGCAGGAGTGTAGGAAGTGCCCAACAAGTATCTCTAGGGTGTCAGGAGGTAGCAGCCCCTCTTGGCTGCAAGAAGATGGCAAGTAGGGTGGTACTCAATCTCCATTAGCCATGGTGAACTCAGCAGTCCAGGAATTCAATTGAGCTGATTTAGAATTGATGTAATTGTTCAAGCTCATGTGGCCAGTGGGTGGTAGAGCCAGGATTTGAACCTAAGCAGTCTGTCTCTAGAGTTGATGGGCTCAGTCATTCTGCTATATCATCTCTGTTCGGCAAAGAAGAGATCACGACACATTTGTTGTTGGGTTGTTGTTGTTTTCTCTTTTTCCTGCTAGTCACCCTTTCCTCTTTCAGCTGCAGGAACTGGCTAATTCTCCAAGGGAAAGGTTAATTACTCAAGTGAAAACAAAAGCACCAAACAAAGGTCAGAAAACTTATGTTCCAGTCCCAAGTGGAATGGCTGGAGGAATTGGGAATGATTAAGCCTGGTGGGGGATTATTTGATCAGAGGATGAGTCTTTGTGTACTAAGGACAGCTATAGTGAAAAAAATCCAGCCTATTCCCCATGGCTATAGAGACCCAATTGTGTTAAGTGAGAGGTTATCCAGAAAGAAATTCTGGTTCAATGTTAAAAGACAGAACATTCCAGAAGATACCACATAGTGGCTGCAGTGGACTGAATGCTGTGTCTCTCTAAAATTCGTATATTGAAATCCTACCCCTCAAGGTGATGATACTAGGAGTAGTCTTTGGAAGGTAATTAAGTTGTCAAGTTGGAGCCCCCATTAATGGGGTTAGTGCAGGTACAAAGGAGACCCCAGAGAGCTCCCTAGCTCTCTTTCTCCCGTGTGAAGATACAAGAAGGCAGTCATCTGCAACCTGGAATTATTCCTAACTAGAATCTGACCATGCCGGCACCGTGATTTCGGACATCCAGCCTCCAGAACTGTGAGAAACACATTTCTGTTGTTTATGGTAAAGACATTATATTGTCTTTATCATAAGCCACCTGGTTTATGATATTTGTTATAGCAACCCAAATAGACTAAAGGCAATGGCTGAGAACTTAAATTCAAATCAGACAAATTCTAGTTCCACCACTTACTATTTGTGTGACCATAGACAATTATGTAATCTCTCTGAGCCTCTAGTTCTTCATATCAAAATAAAGAGGAGGGCTTAGTAGTATGTGTCTCCTAAGACCAATACTATCTTTAAATGAAACAAAGCAAGTAAAAAAGGTTAGCACAGCATGTGGCTTATAATAATCCCACAAAGCATGTTGATGATAAAGCTGGTGTAGATTACAAGCAAAAGGAAATATTTATCTGAGTAAAGATAACTCTTTCTTTATATTTTATTCCTCTCCAGATACTTTTTATGTTTAAAATATTTTTGGAAGATTATTCATCCATCCTTTCATTCATTTAGTGAATAAATGTTTCCTGAGCACTAACTAGTTGTGATGCTCTGAGGACAGAGCATGAAAATATTGAAACAGTCTGCTTATATACCAATGAAGGAGGCAGGCATGAAGAAATAATTACCCAATTCGTCATTTAACTATAATTATAATATGTACTATGAAGGATAATTCTAGAGACCAGAACATTTAACAAAGGGACTGATCTGGCTTTGGCAGGAACACCATGGGGCCCTCCAAGGAACTAAGTTTTGAGCCAGGTCACCTCAATGTGATGCTGTGATTTGTGGCCAAATTCCTATGTGAACCCACAGAAGGCAGTTATTAGGAAGTCTTCAATGGTCCAGGAAGGTGTCACAAATGATTGCATTTGGTCATGCAATCATAAGGGTAATTCAGGATAAGTCGGGTCATGAAGGATAAGTAACAATTCCCTAGGAAGAGAAAGAAAAGATTTGTTTACAGGACTTTGTAAAGACTTGGGGAAAACCTCAGAACAGGGACTCGGATAATACTAATTTTGTTTTGAGCAGACAGTATTAGCAAAAATTAAATTAAAATCTATTCTTTAAAGATTTTCACTCCAGTGTTATTTATCAAGGAAAATTGGAAATAACTATAAAAAATAATTGTCTAACAGTCAGGGAAATTTAAAGTAAATTAAGCCCAACAGGACTGTCTACTTAATACTACAAATATAGTAAATATATTCTTCAAGAGCCTGTGATAACGTGGGAAATCTTATTTAAAATACCAAGGGAAAATAGAGAGACATAAAATTACAGTTATCATGTGGGCACCACCATATTATTTCAACCTACAAATATTATTCTGAGAAATAGAAAAGGAAACAAATATAGAAAAATTATATTATTTTAAAGTATAGAATCTTTTTTTCAATTTGTATTTTTAAAATTTTAATTTTTTTGTTTTTAAGAAAGGGTCCCACTGTGTTGCCCAGGCAGACCCACCCAAGGTGCTTCAACACATGCATGGCCGGGAAGGTGCCTGTTCCCCCCTGGACCCCAGCTATTTAAAGTAGTTTCAGGATCCTTGACACAGTGATGCAGAACCTTTCAGGATTAGCTGGAAGCCACAGCTCAGCCTCTTGATGCAAATTAAATTTAGCCAGTGTGAAGAGGAGACCCTTTTCCTTGTGTGGCGTTTGAATCCTGTGTTTTTACCTTTCGCAAAGGTCTACTTCAAGTTTATATCCTTAAAATTGGACTTGAAGGGGTCTTGACAGGTGTAGTTTTGTACAACAGGAACCTATAAAACAGGTATATCTTGGGAACTTCCATTGGAGTGAGAGAAAGAGGGGTTTTCTGTAGTTGTAGAGTAGATGATAGCATTTGCATTAGGCTGTTCTTGCATTGCTATAAAGAAATAACTGTGGTGGGGTAATTTATAAAGAAAATAGGTTTAATTGGCTCATAGTTCTGCAGGTTTTATAGGAAGCATGGTGCTGGCATCTGCTCGGTTTCTATGGAAACCTCAGGAAGCTTACAATTGGTGGAAGGTGAATGGGGAAAAGGCATGTCACAGGATGAAAGCAGGAACAAGGCAGAGAGAGTGGCTGGGGGAGGGTCACGCTTTTAAATGACCAGATCTTGCAAGAAGTCACTATCACAAGGACAGCACCAAGCCATGAGGGATCTGCACCCATAATCCCAACACCTCGTACAAGGCCCTACCTGCATTGGGGATTATAATTCAACATGATATTTAGGCAGGGACAAATATCCAAACTATATCAGCACTGGAATTATAAACTGCATCTGCTAGAAAATATCGAACAATGCTAAGATTTTATCCATTGCTCTAAATGCAGCAAGAGAACTGAGCGTTACCTCAAACTGAAGAAGCTGCAAGACACTGTTGAGAAGAGAACAAAAGCTGAAACTGGGAATATATTCTGAATCAGAGCTTATGTCTGCACAGGCAGAGAGGAGTGAGAAATTTATGCCACAACTTACTGTAAAAAGTGAACGATCCAGTGTGGAATGTTCAAGCTGTATGGGTGTTTGAGCTGCCTGTTAATCTACAGGAAAGTTTACGACCAAGCCTTTCCATATTGTAGACTTAGAGAAAGAAGCACTAGCAATCCAGGTGCCCTGGCCCTCACTAGCCTCATGTTTTTGCTTAATGAAAAAGCCAAAGAATTCCTCGTGGAGAACAGAGTGCAGACCTTTGACCAGCAGGAGTTGGAAATGGTGGTGTCTTTGCTGTTGCTTGCTAACCAGCCTGTTACTGACAGTGCCTGCTCTGACCAAGGGAATTTTAAGAAGGACATCACTTTCAAGGCAATTTACAGCATATTTTAAAATGCTATGCAACTGCTTCAGGAAAAAGGACTCATTTTCCAGAAAGATGGTGGTTTTGATTACCTGTACTGTGTAACCAGAAAAGACAAAGACCCGCATAGAAAAATCCACTAGATAATTCAGGAAGACTGCCAGAAACCCAATCACCTGGAGAAGGGCTACCACTTCCTGCACATCTTGGCCTGCACTCGCCCTAAGCATCTGCTCAGTCCTAGGTACGGCTATGCTGCAGCAAGTTCTGAAGCTCCTGGAGGACCAGAGTGACCTCATCAGCACAGTGGAGCACCACTATATGGCCTTCTGAGCAGAGGCCCAAGCACATGCATACCAGCCAAGGAGGAGAAAGACAAGGTGGCATTCAACCTCAGGCTCTGATTTTAAACATCCTGTGGGGCTTATATGCCTAGAGGCAGTTACCTCCTTATAAACTGTAAAATACGGCAAAACACTACCACCACCATCACCATCAAAATTCCTGGGCTCATGCTGTCCTCCTGACTCAGACTCTGGAGTCTCTGGGACTACAGGTGCGTGCCACCACATCCAGCTTATGTACTAGGTTATCTATAAGAAGAATTATTACTGATTTTGTTGATGGTGGAAATAAATAACTTTTTCTTTCTTTTTTTTATAGGAAAACTCTCCTGATCAACTTTACCTAACAGGAAAACATCTTCTACCAATTTCGTTTCCTCTGCTGAGGTGAAGCTTGAGAGACATCCATTATTCAGTCTTTAACATATAAAGATTTGTTTAGAATTAAAAAAAGAAATCTTTGAGGGATCGTCAGTTAAACTACCCAATACTGAAATACTATATGAGATTAGCCGTATAAGACTGACTTGACACTGAAGAAGTAGAACAAAGAGCAGGCAAGTTTTGCAGAAGAGGAAAAAAGTTCATTTTGAAGAACAGGGGAGAGAAAGAATACATTAAATGATTCAGGATAATAAACCTCTGGGAAAGAATGAAGACATCAAAGAAAAAAAAAGACATAAAAAGAAACAGAAAATTATAGGCAATAAAATTCCTTAGTTTGACAATCTTGGATCAGGTTCCCCACCCTGTGCAAATTCTCCAGTCCTCTAAGCAGTTCTGTCCATTTGTGTGCTGGTCTGCCTGTCTGTCTCTGTGCCTTTATCTTTGTGTGATTGTGTGTGTGTGTGTGTGTGTGTGTGTGTGCGCGCGCGCGCGTATATGCCCCTCTTTGTTTTCTCATATATTGCAGATAATGACTGAATTTCCTTAGTTAACAACTGATTTATAGACAGAAGTGTTTGGATGTCTTTGTAATCACAAACTGCTCTGCCAGTCCAGATCAGGCCAAGCAGGGTATGGTGGTGCCAGTTATCAGGCAAGGCAGGAGGTCAGGCCATTGCTCACCATTCATTCAGTTGACCAACCTAGGACCTACAGGTCTTCTTCCACTCCTTTTACTTTCTCATGGCTCAAATCCCATCATTTTGAAGTCCTGCCTGTTGATCCTCAAGCCCTTTCTCTTTGTCTTTACTACAGCCACCTTAGCTCAGATTATCAGTAAGACCCTAATGGGACTCCCAGGATTGCATCAATTATCCATATAGAAGCCAAGGTCATATTTCTAAATCACAAATCTCATCATATCACTTTGTACTTTTGTTTAAAACCTTGTGAGGCTCCTTGTCTTTAAATACTTTGTGAAGCTCCAGTTTGCGCAGGATAATGGACCCAGCCTTTGGTTCTCAAGGGGCTCCAGGAATTCTTTCTGCATGTTTGCTGTCTTATATCCAAGTCTCCACTCCCACCCCTTATTTATCCAGCTGCCTTGGGCATCTTTCTGATCTCTGAATGTACCAAGCTCTTTCCTGCCTCAAGGTCTTTGCATACACTGTTTCCTCTGCCTGGAACCTTCTTCTCTACACCTTGATTACTCCTCTGAGGAAAATCCTGGCCAGGCGCACTGGCTCATGCCTGTAATCCCAGCACTGTGCGAGGCTGAGTTGGGAGGATTGCTGGAGCCAAGAGCTCAAGAGCAGCCTGGCCAACATGGAAAAACCATGTCTCTACAAAAAATGCAAAAATTAGCCAGGCGTGGTGGCACATGCCCATAATCCCAGCTACTCGGGAGGCTGAGGCAGGAGAATCACTTGAACCTGGGAGGTGGAAGTTGCAGCGAACTGAGATTGTGCCCCTGCATTCCAGCCTGGGTGACAGTGTGAGACTCTGTCTCAAAAAAATAAAAAAATAAAAATAAAAAAATAACCAGGGGTGATGGCATGCATTTCAGGAGGCTGCAGTGAGCAGATCGCCTGAGCCCTGAAGTCAGGGTCGCAGTGAGCCAAGGTTGCACCACTGCGCTCTAGCCTGGGTGAGAGTAAGATTCCATCTCAAAAATAAATAAATAAATAGGCTGGGCATGGTGACTCATGCCTGTAATCCCAGCACTTTGGGAGGCAGAGGTGGGTGGATCACCTGAGGTCAGGAGTTTGAAACTAACCTGGCCAACATGGTGAAACCTCGTCTCTACTAAAAATACAAAAAAATCAGCCAGGTGCAGTGGTGTTCACCTGTAGTTCCAGCTACTTTGGAGGCTGAAGTAGGAGAATCAATAACTTGAACCTGAGAGATGGAGGTTGCAGTGAGCCGGGTTTGCACCATGGATTGCACTCCAGACTGGGTGACTGCAAGACTCTGTCTCAAAAAAATAAAATAATAAAAAAATAAAATAAAAGTAAAAATAAATAAATGAAATGGAATAAAAATAATTAACTAACTCATCACGGTGAACCTCCCACGTTTGTTCTTAAGACTTCTTATTCCTACTAGCGTGCCTGCTATTTGAGGATGTCAACATTTGTGTATTTGGGTTCGCTTCTGGTGAACAAATAGCATTCTGCACCTGGTTCTCCCCTTTCTAATCCATGTTGTTCTTGCTCCTGTGGAAATTAGTTCCAGCTACTAGGGAGGCTGAGATGGGAGAATCGTCTGAGCCCGGGGAGGTTGAGGCTGCAGAGAGCTGTGATCATGCCAGTGCACTCTAGCTTGGGAAACAGAGACATAGCCTGTCTCAAAACAGAAACAAAGGAAAGAAAAGAAAGGAAAAGAAAAGAAAATGTTTCTCTGATCTTAGAGACCAGGTCCGACTTTGTTAACATGTGCTCCCATAGTATCACTCTTGACTACAAATGCTTGTTTAATTGTTCTCTCCCCAATAGCCAGTGAATTGGATGATTTGTCTGTTGATGTGTCCTTAATGTTTAGAAAAATGCTAGGAAGGCACTAAAGAACCATGTGCTGGTTGAATAAAGGAAGGAAGAAACAAATAAAACGATGGGATTCTACAGGATAGGAAGAGGAAAAGCCCACCTACCCACCATGCTACTGAATCCTTGGTGAGACTGACAAGGGCATTTCCTCATGCTTCCTGATATAGTTGTCCTCGTCTGGGTTCTGAATAATGGCTGTCCCTTCATTTCACTAGTATCTTAAGTCATCACTTCTGCTTTCCAAATTAGAGACTCTGTGATCAAGCTTGATTTTTTTTGAGCAGCTCATCATTTCAGGAAATCGCCACAGTTGAATCCCACTCAGTTCTCATCTTTATCCTCCACCCCCTACTTATTAGAGAATTTACCGGATGAATTGTACTACATTAATGAACTGAAATATTATATTTTACTACTAGGTAATTAGACTTCCAAGCCTGAGCACAAATGCTTTATCAGAAAAGCAGTTTCTTAGGAGGACTTTATTTATTAATTTTTTTTTAGCTAAATGGATTAGAAAAGCATTTTCTCCACAAAAACTCCCCTGCAGGATAGGGTTGGAAAATGGCAGATAGGAGGCAGGACTAACTTGCAGTTCCCACTTGGATGAACAGAGGAACATGTGGAGACCCATGTTGTGAACTTTTGCTCCAAGAACTACCACAGCAATAGACCAGGAAAGCCAAGAGAATCACAGACCTTTTGAAGGAGGTAGATTGCTGCTGCAGACTCCCTGAGACAATAGAGGAACTGTCAGTTGGCTTGCTTTCTCAGTTGGGAGGCTTGTAGCCTGGGGCAAGTTCTCTGCTCTGCTCACCAGCTGCCTGGAAATAAACTCAGTGCTGTTGCAGGGGCATGTGAGACCAGGCTTTCGGGCTGCTGGCTGCCTGGGAGCTGGATGAGGCTTATGGCTACCAGCTTCCCCCACTGCTCAGGTGACCTGTGTGATACCATAGAGGCAGCCATAATCCTCCTGAGACCATAACTCTATTGGCCTGAAAACCACAGCCCCATACCCCACAGTAGTTGCAGCAAACCCTGCCCAAGGAGAATCTGAGCTGAGACACGCCTAACCCTGCCCCAACCTGATAGTTTTTCTCCACCAACCCTGGTAGCACAAGACAAATGACAGTTCTTTGATAGCTCTATGGCCCTGCCCACCACCTGACCCTAGGGCTACCTTATATCCTCCTTATACAACGGCAGCTGATGTGCTCTTGAAAGCACCTCCTCCTGGCTGGAGGCCAACCAACACAAGACCAGCACACATAACAAAAATACAACCGAGGACCCTTGCAGAGTCCACTTCACTCCCCTGCTACCTCCACCAGAGTAGGTGCTGGTATCTATGGCTGAGAGACCTGAAGATGGATCATATCACAGGATTCTTTGCAGACACTCCCCATTTTTGGACTGGAGCCTGGTAGCTCTGCTGTTGGCTGATGTAGAAGAGAAATAACAATCACTGCAGTTAAGATTTTAGGAAGCACTAGCCCTAGGTAAAGGGGGAGAGCACTACATCAAGGGAGCACCCATGTGACAAAAGAATCTGAACAGCAGCTCTTGAGCCCCAGATCTTTCCTCTGACATAGTCTAACCAAATGAGAAGAAGCCAGGAAAACGATTCCGGTAATATGACAAAACAAGTTTCTTTAACACCCCCAAAAGATTACACTAGCTCACCAGCAATGGATCAAAACAAACATAAAATCTCTGAATTGCCAGAAAAAGAATTCAGAAGGTCAACTATTAAGCCAATCAAGGAAGCACCAGAGAAAGAGGAAGTCCAGCTCAAAAAAAAAAAAAAAANAATGGAAAAATCTCTAGTGAAATAGATAGAAAAAATAAAAAACAATCACAACTTCTGGAAATGAAGGACACACTTAGAGAACTGCAAAATGTACCGGAAAGGTTCAGCAATAGAATCAAACAAGTAGAAGAAAAAACTTCAGAGCTCAAGAACAAGATTTTCAAATTAACCTAGTCTGACAAAGACGAAAAAGAATTAAAAAAATGAACCAAGCCTCCAAGAAGTTTGGCATTATGTTAAAATAAACAAACCTGAGAATATTTGGTGTTCCTGAGGAAGAAGAGCAGCCTAAAGTTTGGAAAACATATTTAAGGGAATAATTGAGGAAAACTTCCCCAACCTTGCTAGCGATCTAGACATCCAAATACAACAAGCTCAAAGAACACCTGGGAAATTCATTGCAAAAGGATCATTGCCTAGGCACATCGGGTTATCTAAAGTCAAGACAAAGGAGAGAATCTTACGATTCAAAAGGATCAGGTAACCTATAAAGGAAAACCAGACAGAGTAATAACAGATGTCTCAGCAGAAGCCCTACAAGGTAGAAGGGATTGTGGTCCTATCTTTAGCTTCCTTAAACAAAGCAGTTATCAGCGATGAATTTTGTATC